ATTATCCAGGGACGCTATTGGAATTACAATTGAGATTTGTCTACCATAACTACCGAACGGAGGGCTATATTACCTAGGCTCTGGCGGTTCGGGAGGAAACTACCGATTGAGGTTTAAATGCACTTGGTTTCCTTACAATACTGTTACAGATTTTAGAAGGATATAAACATTACACATTATAACCATATTCAGTACATAATCAAAATATACATAGTAAAAGGGCAATACTTAGAAATTTAAATGAAGATCTTCCCCTTGCGCCTTCATCATGGGTAGTCTGGGACAGTCTCTCTCAGTTAACCATGGCACCGGTGCTTATTGCACTGTCCTCTCCAAAAGAGACAAAGAGGGGAGCCCAACCTCCTTGACTGTTGTTCTTTTAAAGACTGAATCTTGAAGTCATTAACCACAAGTCCCAGAATCCCCTTTCCCTCCCAAAAGTGGTTTATCTAACCCACTTTTTCCAGAGAGTTCTGTCTTTACACAAGTCTTTCCCTTGGATCTCTTCCCTCCAGCTATACTGTAACATTGTGTAAGATGTGACCAGTTAAGGTTGTTTTTTGGGTAGGTTGGGAGCAGGCCTGGACTTCTTTTAGGGACAGGATAGCTTGGGAAAACACATAGTTCCATGGTTGTTTTAGCTGGGTGGTGTAAAATGCAACTGAAAGCTTTGATCCATTTACTGTTATCAAGTAAATGACCCCAACTTGTGAAACCAGTCACATACACAGACAGTTAGATACAATATTGCAGTTTTGCATATTAATTTTATAACATGACAGGAGGCTTCATATTTGCTTGTGTCTCTCTTTACTAGAACTCCACAGCAGCAAAAAAAACAGAGAGTAAACAACCAATCAGAAAACAGCAAGGAGACCATATAACTCCCTTCTCCACATTCTATTTCCTCTTTCTTTGCTGCTCCGCATCAGTACAGGTCAGAGTACCACTCCCTCCTGCTTATATTAGTTGGTGGCTTTGGGATTTTAATTATATTTTCAGTGTCTTACAGATTTTATTATTTGGGGACTTGTTGGTGTGATTAGCTTTATGCCCCTCTGCCTATTGCTCTGGGGATTGTGCGGAGCTTTGTGTCCCTCTGGTTCCTATATATCTCCTCTGGGGATTCTTCCCCCTTTCTGTCCCCTTAAATCTGCCTTCTGTGTCTATCCCGTTTTCGGCTTTACAGGTTTCTGGAGGCCGGCCTGTGTTGCCTCCTCCGATTCCCCCGAGCTCCGGGACCATGGAGCACGTCTCCAGCAGTCCCGTCTGTGTTTTTTCCCTCCGGTCGCGGGTTGCTGCGCTATTGAGCGCGCGCGCCAACTGGAGCCTCTACACGTGGCTGCCTGCCGCGGACCGCGTGTGTCCGCCGGGTGGAGGAGGGAGCACTATCGCTCGCCCCCTCTCCTGCCTGT